TATCAAATCATATCCTTTGTTTGATTTTCATTTAAATACTTTAGATGCAGACGGTGAACTTTATACTTATGAGTGCAGTTGTGACAACGGTAGAACCAGTCCTTAACGGTAGATTATCATTCTATAATTATTTAATAAATTTTAAACCTTTTACTTTGATAATATGGTAGGTTAAACCTAAAATGATTTTGAAAATGTTTTATTTGAATATTTTAGAGCTCGGGAGAAAAGGAATGCCGTTACCACTTACACCTAAAATACAGTTGGAAAACAGTACTGTTCATTTAATTGAGGTACATTTATATCCTTCAGACATTGTTTATGGAAGACACAGTATATACATGTATCCACTCAGGTAAAATACGTTCTTCGTGAAACTAGAATGATAAAAGTAAAAAGAAACAGTTCATGAAATCAAAACCGTTACTGTTAGAGTTCACGAGGATTCTTCAATCAGAAAGAAAATATTCTAAGACTAATAATATCAAGTCATCATGTTAATAGGAATGTGGTACCTACATTAATTCGAATATAATGTATGTTTTTATGACTATTATGAGGTCTATAAACATGTATTTGGAGAGTTGTGTAAGATAAGAATAGAAGACAATATTTGTATTTCTTTAGGGGGAGGGGTCTGTATTGAATTATTTAGATGGATGAAATATTTTCTGCATTTATAAGACAATGAACTACATCTCATCTACATCTACTCTACAAAATTTTGTAAAGCCATATTCATGCATTGAACATAAGAATTGTTACGAAACTTTGTTTTAAATATACATTTTTGATTTATTAATATTCATTAATATTACTTACTTTTCTTTTTTTTACTTTCTTTTTCAGAATGCTATTGTCATAGGGAGCGACGGAACATATAACGGAACAAATGATTAAATCATTTTTCAGATCGATTGATATATTTAGTGGCGCTTTGTTAATCAACATACCTAAGGTTCTGAAGGCGAATTAAAAACTCTTCGAAATACAAGAATTCAAAACTCTGTTTAAAACTTGTAGTATACATATTAATGTGAAAATTAAACAAAAGAAAATATTCCTGATGATAATGTTATTTTAGTAGTTAAATTCTTTTTTAGAAAATATGCAGATATAATTCATATTGCTTAAAAAAAGATGGAATATCTCTTTTTAAAACCGCAAAGACCTTAAATCGCCTTTTAATTGGATTTTAACAGTAGCTTTGTCTGTAGAGCGCTCGCTCTGTGATAGGAAGGTCGAAAGTACGAATCTCAGATAAATAGCAAAGGTATTCTTCCCACATGCGCTCGACAGTTTGAAGAGAATGTTGTTTCTTATGATGAGATTTTAAAAACCGAGGCCCCATCTCAGGACAGGCGTTGATGCGATAAAGATCCCTCCTTCTCAATACAGTCATACCCTTAAAAGTAACTTAAGATCAAAATGTGAAGCCCTTTTCTGGTACTTTGTGACCTCTCAAAATGAGTGAAAAGTTCTAGAATGAAACGTAATACAGAACACAATCAATTTTCGATGTGTGGCTACAATAAATGACCAGAATTTGGTAAGCTACTTATTTGATTTTCATCATAGTCAGGACAAAACTACAATTTTTATTGTTTTAAATCCCAACAATATTTAATATTTAATATTTTGGAAAATATTCATTATTTTTAACACACCGTGTTCTTATGCAAAATTTGTTTCCGAAAAGAATGAATACAGGAGAAAAAAATTAAATGAGTTTGTAGTATGTTTGGAGTACAGATCTCATTATGGTTGACCATTTCTTTCAAGTACACTTAAATTGTAAAATCCCGTAGACTAAAGAATGCAGATAATTTTTTCTGTGAAAACTTTAACACATGTATACACTTGCATTAACCAAAAATACATTTATTTCTAACATGCGAATTCGAAAAGCATCATGATCAATTACTTCAACAGGTACATTTTATCTTTGAAGAGAGAGATAGAGCAGGAGGGAGAAAGAGAGAGTAGCAAAATAGTATGTATAATAAATTTTATTAAATGAGATAGGAACGAATCCATTGTAGACCTTCTGGTCAAGTTTCCAAAAGAAGAGTATATTTCCAGTTTTCTTCTTTCTTACAATTATATCATTTATTAGAATTATATAATAATAATGTATAATGATATTATAATAGATTGTGTTTATATTGAGGTAGATTGAACACCGATCTCATAAATGATTAGAAATGCAAAGTTTATATTTTACCATGAGACACACGAATCAAGGGTCCGACCAAAAAGTAAAATAGGAATTTTTAATGGCACACTGTCATAAAGATTTTGTGAAAGAATCATTATATTTATACAGCAGTATAGATGGAGATTTGGATTAGAGAATGGTATCACTTAATATATTTTAAAGAATGTCAATGCTAGCATTTTACTAATGAAAACTCGAAATATGTGCCTGATAAAAAAAAGGTAAATTAAGAGGCTTAATTTTTTTAAATGAATTCTATTCACTATCGAGACAAGATACTAATACACAACAGTTGAACATTTGCCAAATGTTGTGCACACTTGTTGCATGGTTTTGCCGACGGATAAGATGGCCTCGGAACAAAAAATAAAACTTACTGAAAGGCAGAAGTAATGGTCAACCTTGGGCTTCTTGTTAAGAAAACAGACATTCTTAACTTTAAGACGAGTTTCAAAATTTACTTTGGCATATCTATTATAACTGTATTTTTGGCAATAATATATCTTGTCTTTAAGTATGTTAAGGTAATGTTTACTAAATTCAAAAGATTATACAGCCTTTAAACGTTGTAAATTACGCGACACATAAGTATGAAAATGCCAAAAAATGAGCAAATGTAAGAAATAAATAAACAGAAAAAAAATCAGTTTTAAAAAATATAGACATATAAACGAGAATTCGTGATCTGATAATCTGTGAATGGTTTACTCTTTTTTTTGGGGGGGGGGGGGGGGAACACAAAAATGTGAAAACTAGGTCATTAGTTGCAATGATTTTTAAGTTTTCTATTTTTGATTTTGGATTATAATTTCTGTTTCCTTGCAAGGTTCCGTTTAATATCCTTTTCAGAGGCCTGCGTGACTCATTGGTAAATAAAATGAATTACATGGCTAACTTTTTAAACGACAAACGTACGGTTGTTTGCTGAAGTAACAATGGATATTTTACCTATAAATTCTATTGTGATTTTAATTCTCCATTCATTGTTCAGCCTTGCATGTCAAAAGTAAGTATTCATACAGATGTTCAGGTGTTCTGTATTAAAAAAGACTATCTTCATTTTTGGACTTCTTTCGAATATATCAATTTATTTAAATATTTATCTTTATTTTAATAGTGGCAATGAAAAAGGAATTTGCCCATGCTCCGGATATTTTTACGACAAGGATTTGAAGGCATGTAAAGGTATTTAATTAAGCAGATAGTCATTTACAGGAAAGAACATTAATTTTGTAAATTGGGGAAATATTGTTGTATAATTGTTATTTGTTTATTTGTTTCATTTTCTCACAAAGAGTGTCTGTCTGGATATATGGGTCAGAATTGTTCACGACCATGTCGTTACCCTGGATTTGGGAAACAATGTCAGGAAGAATGCTCTTGTAGAGCGGAGAACTGCGACTTTCGAAATGGCTGTTTTAATAACTCTGTTGGTAAATTTGATAGATGATCACAACTTTAATTTAAATTAAAATTCAATTCAAGTTAATTTTAATCTAGTTATGTTATCGATTTTTCCTTAACATAATTTTTTTTTATATTTCTTTTTTCAAAATATATCTTTATATCTAATGAATTACAACAATTTTACTGTTGATTTATCTTTTTTTTATTCAGTTCAAAAGTTTAAGATTTTTAGGTCACCTGAGTAACTCAGGTGACCTATTGCTCTCCGTTTTCGTCCGTCGTCGTCCGTCGTCCGTCGTCCGTCGTGTGTCGTGTGTTAACATTTGAACATTTTCAGCTTCTTCTCTGAAACCACTGAACCAATTTCAACCAAATTTGGTATACAGCATCTATGGGTAAAGGGGAAATTGTGAATTTCATGGTCCCCGCCCCCCTGGGGCCTGAGGGGTGGGGCCAAAACCACTAAAATTAATGAAATCTTTAAAAATCTTCTTCTTTACTCCTTGACATCAAGCAGGCAAACTATTGACATGAATGTAATGAGCATTGAGTCTTCTACCAAAATTGTGAAATTCATGGCCCCAGGATCAGGGGTTCTAGTGCTAGGGCGGGGCTCTATAGATTATATAGTGAAAATGCATTATTTCTTTGAAAATCTTCTCCTCTGCTCCTGGTTATTAAATACACTTAATAAGCACATAGTTATTATGAGCAAGAGTGCCTCTTTCAAAATTGTGAATTTTATGGCCCCAGGGTTAGGGGTTCTGGTGTTAGGGCAGGGCTCTATAGATTATATTGTGAAAATGCATTATTTCTTAGAAAATCTTCTTCTCTGCTCCTGGGTATTAAATACACTAAATAAGCACATAGTTATGATATGCAGGAGTGCCTCTTTCAAAATTGTGAATTTTATGGCCCCAGGGTCAGGGGTTCTGGTGTTAGGGTGGGGCTCTATGGATTATATAGTGAAAATGCATTATTTCTTTGAAAATCTTCTTCTCTGCTCCTGGGTATTAAATACACTAAATAAGCACATAGTTATGATATGCAGGAGTGCCTCTTTCACAATTGTGAATTTTATGACCCCAGGGTCAGGGGTTCTGGTGTTATGGCAGGGCTCTATAGATTATATTGTGAAAATGCATTATTTCTTTGAAAATCTTCTTCTCTGCTCCTGGGTATTAAATACACTAAATAAGCACATAGTTATGATGAGCAAGAGTGCCTCTTCCAAAATTGTGAATTTTATGGCCCCAGGGTCAGGGGTTCTGGTGTTAGGGCGGGGCTCTAAAGATTATATTGTGAAAATGCATTATTTCTTTAAAAATCTTCTTTTCTGCTCCTGGGTATTAGATTAACTAACTAAGCACATAGTTATGATGAGCAAGAGTGCCTCTTCCAAAATTGTGAATTTTATGGCCCCAGGGTCAGGGGTTCTGGTGTTAGGGCGGGGTTCTATTGATTATTTAGTAAAAATACATTTATTCTTTGTAAATATTTTTCTTTGCTTCTGCGTTTTAAGCCAATGATCCAAGTATATATATATTTATGCTGAAGAAAGGTGCATCTAGCAAAGTGGTTTTTAATGCCCCCAGGGTCAAAAGGGGGGGGTGGTTACATGCCTGAAAATAAATTAATGCTTTGAAATCTGCTCTTTGGTATTAATCAACCATTTTATGATAAAATTTGCAAAATTTTGAAATATATGGCCCTGGGTCAGTAGTTCCTTTGGGGTGAGGTGCACAACTGGTTATAAAGTGGAAGTGCATTTTCTCTTTGTTACTCTGATCTACCTCTGGGTATTAATAGAGTAAGCATACTAAGTTAATAACTATGATTAGCAATGGTGCCTCTTTCAAAATTGTAAACTGTGAATTTCATGGCCTTCGGTTTAAACACGAACCAAATTTAATTGTTTGAAAGTTGTTACACAGTACTGAGGTGACCTATAAGGCCCGTGGGCCTCTTGTTATCGTAGAAATAAAATTCCGGATGTTCAGATATTCACTTATATGTCTAGTATACACCATGCACAAAAATTTATGAAGATTTAATTTAAATTATCTTTGCAGTTAATGCAACCAATTTGAAGAAGAAAAACTTGTCATCTTACTTCAAAATAAGTATCATGGGATCAATATTCATTATAACGACAATAGTAATAGCGATAGCATTTGTTTTCTTTCTGTTTTTGATTTTGACAAGAATTCTAATACTCCATCTAAAGAACAAAAATACTCTAAGTGAACCAAATGCTGCAGCTACTGTCCTTGTGGAAAAAGATTGGTACAATATGGACGTCCAATGTTCTTCAGATTTACCCGCACAGATTCTAACAAAGGTAGATGGACGACCTTTCATAGAAGACATGCATACAACTGACAATAAAATTGGAAATTGCGGAGAGAGAAATTCGGAGAAAAAGACAACCGATGTTCTGGGAAACGATTTCGATAATACAGACACAAGGGATGGAGATAATGTGTATATGTTTACATTTGCATCTTTTGGAAGTGAGATGATGGGGAATTCAGTTCACGCATATTCTACACTTCAGAACAGCTAAATTTGCCCTTTTATTTCTTAAACAACTTTTATCAACAGTCATGTAGCTTACTATTCTTCCAAAAGAAAAAGAATTGTATGTTCAAATCATTTCACTGATAGATAAATAGACGAGATTTTTTCACTGCAAAATATCTCATACTTTAATTGGTAATGTATGGTTGTAAATTTATAGATCAAATGTATTTTGAACACAGTGTTACATGTTTTTTAAAATACAAAATTGAGTGGTTCCTAGTAAATTTAGTTGTCAAAAAGGACACCAATAATATATGCCTTATATTGAAGTTTACTGTAGAAACACTTTGATAATATCTTCATGAAACAAAAAATAGTTTCCAAAAATTTGACCCACGTGCCTGTAACAGAAATTTTCTTCCGCTTATTTGTTTGTTATTTTGATTCATGAATCATATTTGTCAACTTCATGTTCTTCTCCATCCATGCGTTAGTTTTATATAAAATGCTAATGATAAGTCTTTTACCAACTGTTTCTGCAAGAAATTTTGAATATATATGAACCTACAGCATGGATGGGAAATGGGTTTAGCTTTTATTCCATTCCACATGAACACTTCTTTTAAATAAAGATAAACACTTCCTCTTTGGAACTCACGTAACGCTGTGAGGGATTTACAAAGGAGCCGTGACGCAATTTATGCCCGAACTGTTTTCTGCATTAAATTATACACATAAGAGAGTAAATTAAAAATAAGATGATTAATATTTTAATTTTTTATAGCTATTAAATACAATTACTTCCTTCACAGTTATAGCTACATGTACATGTAAATACCAATCATAATTCCAAAATCAAAAATATAATTGAACTTCGTGGAGAGCAAGACAACCTCTGAAGAAAATATGATGTTTCTTATCCCTGCAAAGGCATATGAAAGAAATACATTTTTTTCAAAGTTTAGAAAATAAAAGATAGTTTGCAGGAGAATGAATTAGAAAAAAGAATCCTTTATTACCTTTTCTTTTATGAAATGTATCTCCTCCGGCTCAAAGACCTCGTTGACACAAAATTGTACTGAGAGCAGAAAAAAGTGGGTTGGGTATATATTAAATCGAGGCTGATTCCTTCGGAGTGAATCACACTCGGTAAGAAATCCTTATAACACTGGCTTGAAATGGTTTGCTGCGATACTATGTACTGTTAATTACGAAATATTTTTTTTAATCTACAAAGGCTATAATATCCCTTTAATGAAAGCTTCCAGCTTCAAAAAATCGTGTCTTTTTAAAATAAGTTTCCAATAACAAGAAACATTCAGTAACTTTTACAATTGCTACATGTACATCTCCTAGATCTCACCTCAAGAATTTTCTTGGGGACTGAGGTTCATGCCCTCTTAGATCTAACATGCTTAGCATTGTGTAGTAGTATTATATATATATATATATATATATATATATATATATATATATATATATATATATATATATATATATATATATATATATATATATATATATATATATATATATATATATATATATATATATATATATATATATATATATATATATTAGGGATGTCAAATCGGTCAATTTTTGATACTCGGTTACTCGGACGTTTTCCGATCGAGTACCCGAGTACTCGGTAAAAGTGTAAATTAATATGAGCAAGTAAATTGATGAATGTAAAACATTGTAAACTCTTGTAGAAATAAAACCACATGCTCTGATAGGAGATGTACCCGTAAATGCATTTCTGTTGTAACAATGAAGATCACTCCATGCCCGACCAAATTTAATACAACATTTTTTTAAGTTCAATTTATTTATCAGATAAACACAATAAATAAAATCGTAAATAAATTGTTGTTAAAAAAATCTACTCCGAAATTGTAATGTAACTCCTTGTTGCGTTTGACGTCCAGGTATCAGTCATACAGTTTGACTTAAACTTGACCAAGTTCTAACAGAGCGGATTTACGATTTTCGTATACTTTTTAAATCCTAGTCTAGATTTTATAGTATTACGGGACGGTATCTTGTAGTTTGGTGCAACGATGGACATAAGTTTACTTAAAGCCTTTGCCATCAACCATTTGTACATGTATTGGCATGTAATCAAACACAACCATATCAACAATCGCGCATGTAATATCATCTGTCTCTTTTCCCGCGAATTTACGGCTTCTCAGAGAATTGACAAAATTGTCTAATTTATTTAATCATTACAGACCATAAACGATTTTCCGTGAAAACAAATAATTAAAGCAAATCAAAACATAAGGGTAGAAGACAACCGAAGGTGAGAAAGCTAGGTAACAGGTGCTTGGATACGATAATTACTTTATAAACACTGCCACGGGCGATAACGGTCATTTAGAGGAGTAGTAAACCCTAATTATACCCGCACTTTCGAAAGAAAGTTCGGGTATATTGTTGTTACTCATGTCCGTCCGTCCGTCCGTCCGTCTGTCACACTTTTCTTCCCTGAACTCCTCCTACATTTTTCACAGTAGCTTAATCATCCTTTGGGAGATGGTTGGGGGTGTCATGTAGATGTGCAGTAAGGTTTCGGAATTTTGATTTTGCCCCGGGGGATCAAATGGGGGTCGAAAAATGACGTTTTTTATACAAAAAGCCCCTTCTCCCCTGAACTCCTTCTACATTTTACTCAGCAGTCTAATCATCTTTTGTGAGATGGTTGGTGGTGTCATGTAGATGTGCAGTAAGGTTTCGGAATTTTGATTTTGCCCCGGGGGATCAAATGGGGGTCGAAAAATGACGTTTTTTATACAAAAAGCCCCTTCTTCCCTGAACTCCTTCTACATTTTACTCAGCAGCCTAATCATCTTTTGAGAGATGGTTGGTGGTGTCATGTAGATGTGCATTAAGGTTTCGGAATTTTGATTTTGCCCCAGGGGATCAAATGGGGGTCGAAAAATGATGTTTTTTATGCAAAAAGCCCCTTCTTCCCTGAACTCCTTCTACATTTTACTCAGCAGCCTAATCATCTTTTGAGAGATGGTTGGTGGTGTCATGTAGATGTGCAGTAAGGTTTCGGAATTTTGATTTTGCCCCAGGGGATCAAATGGGGGTCGAAAAATGACGTTTTTTTATACAAAAAGCCCCTTCTTCCCTGAACTCCTTCTACATTTTACTCAGCAGCCTTATCATATTTTAAGAGATGGTTGGTGGTGTCATGTAGATGTGCAGTAAGGTTTCGGAATTTTCATTTTGCCCGGGGGGTGGGGGGGATGGGGATCAAATCGAGGTAGAATTTTTATATATATATTTTTTTACATATATTTGACATGTTTAATCACCCTGCTTTCAAGAACTTCCCTAATATCTTATGCTGCAATAGCTTTAAACCATGATCATTTAGAAAATGATTGGTTTGTTTTGTGTATGTGTAAAATGGTTTCAAAATTTGAATTTTCATATGGATGGCAAAAAGGGGCTGGAATAATATGGCACCTCCCTAACCCTGGTGGGTATGATTTGTACAAACTTGAATCTACACCTCTTGAGAATATTTCCATATTAATCATGCTCTTGGTGTTCCTGAAAAGAAGAACTTTAAAGATGTGTTTCCTTTTATTCCTAAATAAAACTTTGATCCCTAATTGTGGCCTGACCCTAGCCTGAAGTGATGATTTGAAAAACTAGAAATATGTCTATAGGACATGAATGTCCCGCCAGATGTGTATTACTAATGGTACATTAAACAAGAGGCCCATGGGCCACATCGCTCACCTGAGTACTGAAGCTAAGAAAAAATAGAAATTGGTTTATAATTGAAAAGTTAAAATCCAAAAGTAATCCCATGATCAATCATGGATTTGCTTTTCTTCAAAGAATTTTCCATATATTTCTATGTAAAACTTTGGTCGGCCATTTTGGCCCCGCCCTACCCCCTGGGGTCATGATTTGTACAAATTTTTGAATCTACACTACCTGAAGATGCCTCCATATAAATATGATGAATTATGGATTTGTAATTCTTGAGAAGAAGATTTTTAAAAAATTTTCCCATAAATTTCTATGTAAAACTTTGGTCGGCCTTTTTGGCCCCGCCCTACCCCCAGGGTCATGATTTGAACAAACTTGAATCTTCACTACCTGAGGATGCTTCCATATAAATTTGATGAATTATGGCTTTGTCATTCTTGAGAAGAAGATTTTTAAAGAATTTTCCTATATATTTCTATGTAAAACTTTGATCAGCCATTTTGGCCGTGCCCTACCCCCGGGGGTCATGATTTGAACAAACTTGAATCTACACTATCTGAGGATGTTACTCCATAAGTTTCATCTTTCCTGGCACAGTGGTTCTTGAGAAGAAGATTTTTAAAGAATTTTCCAATATATTTCTATATAAAACTTTAGTCGGCCATTTTGGCCCTGCCCTACCCCCGGGGGTCATGATTTGAACACATTTGAATATTCACTACCAGAGGATGTTAACCCATAAGTTTCATCTTTCCTGGCATAGTGGTTCTTGAGAAGAAGATTTTTAAAACATGCCACCAAATTTTCATTAATTCCCAATTATCTCCCCTTGAATGAGGGCATGGCCCTTCATTTGAAAAAACTTGAATCCCCTTCACCCAAGGATGCTTTGTGGCAAGTTTGGTTGAAATGGCCCAGTGGTTCTTGAGAAGAAGTCGAAAATGTGAAAAGTTTACAGACAGCTAGACAGACAGACGGACGCCGGACAAAATATGATCAGAAAAGCTCACTTGAGCCTTCAGCTCAGGTGAGCTAAAAACTAAAAACTAAAATTTGTATTTGTGTATAAAGTTTGATGAAAATATCTTAAACAGTTTTTTTTTTTCAGAATTGAAACTAAAATATAAATAAATTGGATATAGATTATAAATTCTCATCAAATTATGTATAAGTGCATGTTAAACATAAAAATGTCTTAAATTATTTCTTAAAAACTAAGCAAAATACATATTAAAGAGGAGGGAGGTCAAGGTCACAGGAATGTGCAAGATGAAGTTTTTGATGCAGCTGAATAGCTCTCACTAATACATATTAGCTTATTATGTTTGATAAAAATATCTTTAATGATTTAATAAAAGTGAGCTTAACACTTTGTTTTAAGAAAAGAGAAGTCAAAGGAAAGGTTGTGGTCAAAATGTTGTTCTAGCTGAAAAGCTTAC